TGCTCCAAAGATAAAAGCTGTAAAGATTATATAAGCAATGAAACTGAAAGTAGATAGCGCACAATTGACTTGCCTTTGCGTTTGAAGATTTATCAACATTCAACGCTGCTTCTTCTTTTTTCCCTGGCTGTGCAGCAACTCCAGATAATTTTAGCACTTTCACAGACTAGATCATTGAGGACAGTACTGCATCACAGATGTTAGCCAAAACTGAAGACATACCTTCAGCTCATCCGTAAGATCGGCAAGTGACGTCTCATTTACAGTGAGGGTAGGTTTAATCGTTTCATCCTCAAAAAAGGCAATGAAAACGTAAAGGAATATAAGTTTAAGGGGAAACCTTTAGTTCCTGCGCCAGTTCATCAATTTCACATGCCAATCTGTTGTACTTTTGCTCGGGCGTCTCTGGCTCAGAAAATTCTAAAAAGTAAATGTACTGCATTCTAGAAATTTACTTGTTTGAAAGATTAGACGATAAACTTGAGACTGAAACTTGATTATCATACAGTATTCTAAAGCAACTCTTAATAAGCTTTGATAATCTAAGAGTAAAAAATTTGTCAACTCAAAGATAAATGTAAACGTAAGCTTTTGATACTTCCCCGCTCTCTAAAACAACAAAAAATGTAAAAACTCATTTTCATTATTTATCCAATAGTGCACATATTGTTAGAATAATCATATCTTTTTGCATAGAATCATCAACAATAGAAGTTTAAAAGCAGTACAGATATAACAGGATACCTTTACCAACAACTTCTAGCACGTATTGTGTACTCCCATATGATTTTCCTCGCCTCTTCGCTATGGAGTCAGAGAAATCTAAAGGGGTAGGTATAAGTAAGCGAATGCAGGGCTCCTGGAAAAAAAATACCTATATCACGAGTATTCAGTGTGCTATCCTTGAAGCGTTGGCGGGCAGCATTTATGTCTATGTGGATCTGTAAACATGACTCAAAAGCAGTTGAAAAGCAGGTTATTTTCCATTTGTTATTTAGCATAAGATTGAGGCGAAAAAAGGTTGACCGAGTACCAGGTGATTTCAAAGATTCAATTAGTAGCTCTTTT